AAGGGGAGGGAGAATGGGAGGAGCTGGGGCGGGGACAGGGAGGAGCCGGGGAGGGGCCAGGGAGGGGCTGAGAGGGGCCAGGGAGGAGACCGCCTGTCCTGGGATGCTGGCCACGGCCCTTCCAAGGCCACCTCCAGTGCAAGTTCCTCCCCGTCAAGGTGGGGGAACTTGGCCTGCATGAGGCCCCGAGTAGCCCACCCACCACACAGCTCCCCGCGTGGCCCCCGCACGGCGCACTCACTGTACAGCTCCACCGTGTTGAAGGGCTCGTCCCCAAACTCCAGCTGAGTGAAGATGATGGCATAGTCTCTGAAGTTGGTGGCCAGCACCCGGAGCTCCAGCACGCCTATTGCTGGGAAACAAACCCCCCGCCGTGGGGGAGGGCAGCTGCTGTATCTGTCCAGGGGCTGCTGAGCTGGTGCTGGCCACAGGGACGGAGGATCCAATTCAAGTGAGAGCCCCCAACCCCAGGAGACCCCTCGAAGCACACCCAGAGCCCCTAAGCTTTGTCCCCCGACCCCGACCCCACCTGGTGCCAGCATCAAGGGGTTTTCAGAGACTGATGGACAGACAGACAGACAGACGAGCACTGCCCAGCCTGTCCCGGGTGTGAACGAGGAGTGGCTGGGTCACACTGGCCCAGTCCTGTCCCTATGGACAGCCACCGGGCAGGCCCCTTGCCCTCTGCACCTATGGGGACCTTGGCTGGACTCCACTGGCATCTGAGCCTGCTGGGAGCAAGGTTCCAGTCCTCTGTCCAGGGGCCTCTCTTCACCCTCAGGATGGGCACCAATCCTAAGACCAGAACCTGTAGCCTCCTGGCATTCGGGAGTGGAGTCAGCCCTCCGTCCCTGGCCGCAGGGTGCCTGGGGATGCTGCAGGGAAGAACGGCCTGGGTGAGGCCGTGGTGGTCAGACTCACAGGGATTCTCAAACACCCATCCGGAGTTTCGCTTCAACAGCTCCGTGACACTCTGGCTGCACCCCTGCAGCCTGGAAAAGAAGAGGCCCATCACCCACTCAGGGTCAAGACCCCCGGGCCCGGTGAGAGGAGACAGAGCTCAGGAGTCGAGTCCAGGCCAGGCCAGCCGGCAGCAAGGCCAGAGCTTCCATCTTCTGCCAGATGCCCCGATGTCTGGAAACCTGCTCTCAGAGAGTGGACGGCGTGGGAGTCCTAAGAGGGGCGGATACTCCCATTCACCTCCTGAGAGATCCTCAGTGCCAGATCTCCACCAGGAACGCTGAATGCTGCTGAAGACGCAACAGGAGACTCAACAGACAGGAGGTTCGCCTGCAACTCAGGGGAAGAGGCCGCCGCTCCCTAAGTGGTCAGTCCCCAGAGTGAGCAAAACCCAGCAAAGGTGCAGTGGCATTTGCCAACGAAGGAAGCTGAGGCTGAAGTCCACGCGGGAGAAACAGCAAGAAGAACTAGGAAAGCCACGTGTGAGCTGCCACCTCAGCCTGGAGCCCCTTGGTCCCAGCTCACCCTGAGGCCAGGCCTGGCCTGGGGGGTGCAGCAGGGCCCCTGCCCATAGCCTCCAGGCGCAGGTGCAGGGGGAGGGCATGCTGGGTAGGAGGGCAGGTTCTCCTCTCTGGGCCCTGTGTCTGGCTCAGTGGTTCAGGCCTGGGCTCTGCCACCAGCTTGCCGGGGGTAGACGCCCACCACGCCACCCAGCAGGCCACTCTTCTGTGAAGGGAGGCAGGCACTGACTCCTGCCCCAGCATGGCTACCCCTACAGCCTGGCTGCCCTGTAGGTGTCCTCTGCATAGCACGACCTCAGGGGCCGGCCCCTCCTTTAAGGCCACACAGCTTCTAGGTCCCCCAGGGCCAGCCCAGACCAGCATGGGCAGTGGGGGATGAGTTGGGCCAGCCCTTGGGGGGGTCCCAAAGGCAGGAGCCTCAGGGCAGGAAGGGTGGATGCTGGAGGGTTGGAGGCTGGAGGCCTGGTGGGTTGGAGGCTGGAAGGTTGGAGAATTGGAGGCTGGACACCCATTCCTGCACACTGCCACCAGCCGTGCGTGTGGTCAGGTACACCGGCCTGAGGCCACAAGGCCAGTCTGGCCGACAGCCTGCATGACCATATTGTTTGGAGATTTATATTATAAAAGAACCAGTGGTTCTTAGGCCCAAATGCATTACCCTCCTTTAAACAGAATTCCCAGAAAAGCCTGCCGAGAGGACCGGCTTCCCCAGCTCTGACCCCAGCCTGCAGCCAGATGGCCCAGGACAGGGATGCCTCAAGGAGCGTGGTCAGAGCGGTGCCCGGCCGTGGTATTGAAGGTGGGAGTCCCACCTGGAGGCCCCAGGGACACAGATGTGAGTAGCTGGGCAGAGGGCTGGTGGCTCTGCGCAGAGCCCAGCGGGAAAAGTGAGGGGAGTGCAGGGGGTCCGTGGGAACCCCCAGGCCATGGTGCCTGGGAGCAGATGTGCAAAGGACGTGATGTGCCTGAGCCACAGGCCTACCTGCGAGAAGGCCTGGCAGGACCCACCCCACTCACCCGTGCTGAGAGGACAGCAGTCGCAGGTTGTTTTCTGGAGTGAGGGTCACCACCACCCCCGCGACGTTCTTCATGTCCTTCTCCACTGCAAAGCTCTTTTCCCGGGAGGCCACCGCAAGCACGTACCAGGGCCCAAGAAGCTGCATTGAGGCCGCTCCTGTGAGGGCCGCCAGCCCTCCAGCCTCCAGCCCTGCAGCCTCCAGCCTCCAGCCATCCAGCCTCCACCCTCCAACCGTCCAGCCCTCCAACTCTCCAGCCTTGCAGCCTCTAGCCTCCAGCCCTCCAGCCTTCCACCCCTCTACCCTCCAGCCTCCAGCTCTCCAGCCCTCCAGCCTCTAGCCCTTCAGTCTCCATCCTCCAGTTCTACAGCCCCCCAGCCTTCCACCCTTCTAGCCTCCAGCCTCAGCCTCCAGCCTCCAACCCTCCAGCCTCCAGCCTTCCAGCCTTGCAGCCTCTAGCCTCCAGCCCTCCAGCCTTCCACCCCTCTAGCCTCCAGCCTCTAGCCCTCCAGCCACCAGCTCTCCAGCCCTGCAACCTCCAGTCTCCAGCTCCAATCCTCCAGCCTCCAACCCTCCAGCATCCACCCCTCCTGCCCTGAGGCTCCTGCCTTTGGGACCCAAGGGCTGGCCCAACTCATTCCCCACTGCCCATGCTGGTCTGGGCTGGCCCTAGGGGACCCAGAAGCTGTGTGACCTTAAAGGAGGGGCCGGTCCCTGAGGACCAGCTTTCTCCACCCCCAGGAGGACTGTACCTGCTTAGGGTCCAGTCTTCCCAACCACACGGCCTGGGCCCTGGGCACCGCGACCAAAGCCAGAAGAGCAGCCAGCAGTAGGCCACCCATCCTCCCAGGTCCACACCACGCCTCAGGCCCAAGATGTGCAGTCCCTCTAGGCCCTGGAGACCCATTTATACAGCTCTGAATTTCTCCGTGTGGGCGGCACTAACTGCCAGGAACCCTCCTGGCCTCCTGCAAAATTACCCAGGGGGGCACTGAGCAGTGGCAGCCTCTGAGCCCAGATCAGACAGCTGCACAGCCGGGAGAGGGTCTGGAGTTTGTGCATCCACCACACTGTACTGATCTCTGCTTCCTTCCACCAGAAGGTTCCAGAATGGGCATCCTAAAGCCAGCTGCATCACCTCCCCGCTTCCTGGGGACCCACGCTCTCCCTCACCCGGTTTGGGAAGCAGGGACCCTGCTGTCCGCTGCCAGGCCCGGCGGGAGGCCAGGGTCAAGCCCTAGGAGAGGTACAAGCAGGGTAAGAACAAGCGGTTCTTAGGAACTGCGGTTTTGGATATCTTTTGTTTCAATCATTAAATATAAAAAGTCCCTGAAAGCCTTTTGATTAAAGCTCCCACCCCCTCCTGGCCCACACACCATTCTGCTTTGTGGCCTGGCCTCCTGTCCCCCACAGCCAGCACCCCCAGACCAGACTGTCCTGTTCCTTTCACCCCTGCACCGCACCGTCCGGCCCTGCTGCCTCCTGCCTCCCCTCCCTGGGACCCTGGCCTGCTTGTGCCTCCCAAGGACCCTTGAGAGCTCTCTGCAGCCCCTGTCCAGGAGCAGAGGACAGAGGTGCTCGTCAGGGTCTATCTGAGCCCCTGAAGCCCACTGGGAGGCAGCCGGGAGGGTCCTCTCCCAGTGCCGTGGCCTGAACCCTCTGGGATTCACTCCCACACACCTTCACTCATTCGTCAACAAGGGTGCAAGGAGCATGTCCATGCAACAAGGCTGCAGTGCCCAGGGCCGCCTGCACTCACAGAGCTTACACTGCAGCCCTGGCCGCCTGCCCTGTACCCACGCAGCAGGGCCTGTGACCACCAGAATGCAAGAAGAAGGCAGAAACCACGCAGCTACTGGGGGCCGAGCCTGTGAAGACTGACCGGGCAGTGGGGCCATGGAAGTGTCAGCCAAAGCCATGGCAAGCAGGATTTGCCCAGGGGCTGAGCCACAGAACAAGGGGGCGGGACACTTAGGCCTGGAGCCTTCAGGAGGGAGCCATGGCCAGGCGCGGTGGCTCACACCTGTAATCCCAGCACTTTGGGAGGCTGAGGCGGGAGGATCACTTGAGTCTAGGAGTTCGAGACCAGTCTGGGCAACGTAGCCAGACCTCGTCTCTACAAACAAATTTAAAAATTAGCTGGACGTGGTGGCGTGCTCCTTTGGTCCCAGCTACTTGGAGGCTGAGGTGGGAGGATCGCTTGAGCCCAGGAGGTTGAGGCTGCAGTGAGCTGTGATCGTGCCACTCCACTCCAGCCTGGGCGACACAGCAAGACCCCATCTCTAAAATAAAAATACAAAAAGGAGGAAGTCAAGCAGCTGGACCAGGCCTCTGACAAGGAAACACCTGCTAGCCCCACAGTGTCCTTCAGGGCTGTGGGAGGCTGGTTTTCAAGGTAGCCACAAAACAGCACACAGCATCAGTCGGGCATGGTGGCTCATGCCTGTAATCCCAACACTTTGGGAGGCCAAGGCCGGCAGATCACCTGGGGTCAGGAGTTCGAGATCAGCCTGGCCAACATAGTGAAACCCCGTCTCTACTAAAATTACAAAAATTAGCCAGGAGTGGTGGCACATGCCTGTAATCCCAGCTACTCGGGAGGCTGAGGCAGGAGAATCGCTTGAACCTGGGAGGCGGAGGTTGCAGTGAGCCGAGATTGTACCACTGCACTCCAGCCTGGGTGACAGAGTGAGTAAGATTCTGTCTCAAAAAACAACAAACAAACAAACAAAAACAAAAAGCATAGGATAAACCTCAGAGTCTAACGAGACTAGTTCCTTGCCAGGGCTGGGAGCTGGAACAGAGTTGGGGGAGGAATTTAGACTTTTTTCAGTAAACCTTTTTGTATAGTTTTGACTTTGGAATCAGAGTAATTTGGTATACTATACCGTTATACTCAAAAGTAAAATAAACAAATTCCAAACATGGGATACAGTTGTATTATAGATAAATGACAGCCACACTAAAGGGGAAAGGACTGCCCCCGGTAACTTCTGAACAGTAGTTTCTCTGTATTCTCGGCCTAATGGCAGAAGGAGCTACAAACACATCCTAAGCTCTCGTCGACAGGCTCATGGTTCACGGTGGTTTGGACGAGCAATTCTGTTTTGTTTTGTTTAGTTTTGAGATGGGGGTCTCACTCCGTCATCTGGGCTGGAGTACAGTGGTGCAATCTCGGCTCACTGCAACCTTCACCTCCCTGGTTCAAGTGATTCTTCTGCTTCAACCTCCTGAGAGCTGGGATTACAGACACGCGCCATCATGTCCAGCTAATTTTTGTATTTTTAGTAGAGACGGGGTTTCACCATGTTGGTCAGGCTGGTCTCGAACTCCTGACCTTGGGATCTGCCTGCCTCGGCCTCCCCAAATGCTGGGATTACAGGCATGAACCACCGCGCCCGGCCCGGGTGAGCAATTCTGATACACTTTCCATGCACTCTAGAAGGGACCTAATGAGTAAATATATTAAGGATAATGGGTTTCTCTGTGTTGGAAAAGAGAATTATAAATATAGACATATAGAAAGGGGAGAGATCAAAGTGAACCCTGTGGCGTTGGACTGGAATTGGAAGTATCCATGTGAACTCTGATTTTGGTAGACAGATAAGGAGAGGCAGGGAGGGAAGGAGAGAGGGAGGAGGAAAGGAAGGAAGGAGGGAAGGGAGGGATGGAAAGCCGGCGGGGGGAGGAAGGAGGGAGAAATGGGAGGGGAAGGGAAGAAGGAGAGAGAGACAGGGAGGCAGGGGACG